CATCTTGCTGCTTCCATCTTTGGTTTGATGGTAACTCATTACACGAATAACACCAAGAGGAAGTCATCTCCATTCCCTGTGATCATCATGAGACTGTTTAGGAAGTTTAAGATTATACTTCCTCCTCGAGCTCATCATATAGAGATTATGCTTTGAACAAGTTTAAATCTACTAAGGCAAATGCAAGGAAAGTCAATAAAGGTTCAGATTTCTTCAAGAGTAGAGGACTAGTAGTACTTCTGAGGACGTCTACAAACCGGTACCTCCAGTGCCGTTTTTACCTATTGAGGATGAGGATGAGGATGGTAATGAGACTGATGATGATGGTGGTGATGATAATGAGGATGGTAGTGGTAGTGATGATGGTGATGATGAGGATATTCTGACTACTACTGTTCCTTCTGAGGGCAATGCTTGATTATCTGTTCATATCATACATGCATCATTTTTTTTTTCAATTCATACATTGTCATTATTATTTTTAGATATTATCTTTTGATTAATGAGATGTTATAAACTGTTTGATTGTTTCTCTTCTATTTTTCGCTCTAATCATTGTTAATAACTTTGTCAATTTTGTTCCAAAAAGGGGGAGAACAATGGTTAATTAAAGGGGAGAAAATTTTGAAAATTTGGATAATTTATTCTGGGGGAGTTTTTACAGATTAATTTATTAAACTCTCACTGGTAGTTTTGCTTAATCCATGTGCAGGAAGTTAGTTAAAATTTTGTCTAAGATAAGAAGAGAACAAACAAGAAAAATTCCGTGGTGTCCTTTAACAAAATTGTAATTTACTCTTCTCCTTTGATAGATTACATAATTGTTTTTAGGGTTTTGTCAAGAAATTGTCAAATGGGAAAATTGTGAGATATATATTTTGTAATTGGCAAATTTCGATATCAAAACAAGTCTTGATCGAGTAATAATTTCAAGTTGCCATATCAAGATCGACATCGACTACGGAATTGGAAGGTTGTTCAAAGATGAAATAATGAGATCATCGAAACAGGAAAAAACAACACTTTTAGGAAGTCGTTTCTCACTTAGGACACAATACCTACATGGTATGATTTTCGAAGTTACCAAAAATAGAGTTTTCCAAGTTGTATTAGAATTCTGTCAAGTGGGAACCGGTACTAACATTTGGGAACCGGTTCAAGAACCATAACTTTGAAGGAATCCATTTTTTTTCTTTGGGAGCCGGTTCCACATATTGGCTATCGGTACCACTACTGTTTTAGATTAAGGTAACTTTGTATTGTTCTGTTTCAAACTTTCTAGTTGGTTTAGAATATTACCAAAAGTACTATGCACAAAATTTTCTTTATTTTATGAAGGATCGGATCTTTAAAAATTCTATATAAACCCTGATATACATCTAGGTTTAGTACAGCTTTTGCACAACTTCATATTTCATAAAAGCCTTAGGAAGATTATTTTTGTAGAAAATCCAAGTTGATTTCTCTGTCAATCTTTTTAGAACAAACACATAAACACAAGAGTGATTTTAGAGTATTGTTTAAATCCTGATCATGATCACAGTCTTGTATCTACAACGATCAGAGAAAAATAAAATACTTCTACATCGAATTCAGATATTGAAGAATAGAAGTAAAAATGATCACACTTTGAAAGGGTCAAAGCATTCGAGGAGTGTTGTTTGATCAACCGATAGTCCTTCTACAGAGATCAAGAATAAGTCCGAGGTCAAGTGCTTTTGGACAGGACGTCGCAAAGCCAGAAGATTGTCAGCGATTGGTGTTTGGTAGAACGATATGATGTGAGCCTGAGTCAAAGTTCAGTGTACTTTGTTTCAAACATAGTGGCTCGATTTATGTTCGACTATAAAGTCCACGAGGTTTTTTCCACGCAAAGAATTGGTCTATTTTACCAATTGGGATTTCCTCGCTAAAAATCATGGTGCAATCATCTCTAACTCTATTACTTTGCCTTATTTTATCTTGCATATGATTAAATGATTAATTGCTAAAAGAAGTAAAGTTAGAAAGACATAGATTTGTTTCTAAAGAAATAAAACTTTCTAAATATTCCGCTGTGTACATCTCACAGTAACGACCCAGATCCATGGATACGAATTGCTTACCAGGTCTTAACCCGAACCCGAGAACACCCAAGGGTAATATAGTCATTACAAGGTGAAGGAGAGGAGTGAGTTGACTCTAAATAAATCAAGGGGGATCTATTTAAGTCAACGTAGCCATATAAACTCATTTGGTGCGGTTCTAGATGCAAAGACATTGTTTTCACATAATCATGCCTTTTTGGTTTAAAAGATTTCCGGAGCTGTCCGTACTAAAATTGCCAAAACTTCCTGTACAGCTGATTTTTTTTGGATAAGGTTGGCACCAATGGAAATATAACTCAAAATCCTTGAATTTGGACTCAAATTTGAACCATTTGGGTAAGAAATGAAGGAGATATTACTATTTGAGTTGGGTCAAAACTGCAGGTGAGCTGAAAGTTTCAGTCAGCTGAAACTTGTGTCAGGATGAAACTCAAGGCAGGGTTGGCTAACAATGATAGCTCAGCTTAAATAATGCTCCAGACCCCCATCATTTAGCCCAAGCCAAAAATACACTATCGGTCGGCTGGTTTATATCACCAGCTGGCCGAAACACATTAGGAGCTGGAAAATGGGTCATTTTCAAGATGTAATGGCCATGGACTCCACTTGTGTCAATCACATGGATTTCGAAATGACCCGAAACTTATATAAAAGATGAGATACACCAAATGAACACCATCTACATTGATATATATAATTTTTTATAAAAATATACACATCCTTTAATCAAACATAATCTGGCCTTCATCGTCCCTCCTTAACAATATACAAGAGTGGTTCCATTGTCGTCATACACATATTCCAAAATATACAAAAGTGTTGGCACAAAGATGTCTCAACCTTGCACTCCTTACAATTTTAATGATTACAAATAAAGAAGAAAATGTGTTTAACATCTTTTCTAAAAGTGCAACAACAGGAATGATCATAAGCCTATCAAGGATGATTTATGGAAAGTAAAGCACAAAGAAAGGATTTGCAGAACTCATCAAAGGGGTAGTATAGAATGGTGAGAGTTAGAATAATTGTAAAGCATTGGTTTATAACATATAATACAAAGCTTTGGATTCACCCATTTCATGCATTTTATCCAACGAAAGGCTTTAACGACACTACATAAATGATTAAGTTCTTCACAGATCATTTAACCAAATAGATAATAAAGAGTATTCATTAAGATGTTATCTGCACTAGCCACGTAACTGATCAGATGTTACCATGTAACCGAACGCATTACTCCATGTTATTGTTTAGATGGCCACAATAGAAAGATGTAACTTATCCCCAATGTCATCTAACCGAACATATTATCACTTGTGTTCGATCAGATCATATCAAGTAAATGATCAAATTACTTCATGTAATCGATCAGATGACAAAAACAGAAGGTCAACTGATCATCGTAGTTCGTCATATAACCGAACATATTACTAATCTAACCAATCAAATAGGCCCAAGCTACCGATCAGATGAAACATATATCCGATCAATCCAAAATCTGATCCTACCGAACAAAGCTCTAATCTAACCGATTAGACGAGTCCAAGTGGCGTACAGATGGAACATATAACCGATTAAATAAGTTCTATTTTCAAATCTGACTGAATTAATTCCTCTCAAATGGTAATATTGGCATTACTTTCCATTCCTATTTTATGCCACACATATTATCTATAAATGCTCATCATTAAGGCTTTGAGAAATTAATCTTTGCTTTAAGAGAGAAAACCTTTTCTAAAGAAACATTCAAGCATTCATAGTCATTGCTTCATTCATTGAATCCCATTAAGCTTTGATCTACTGCTATATTCTCATATGCTATAGGATTGTGAGCTTTGATCTGAGTATCAAATCCTTGAGAGTTTTCTTGAGATTCAAACTTTTATATTGAATCAATTGTAAGGGTTGGCATAACCCAGCAAAAGTCTGAATTAGCAAGAATAAGTAGAATCCGTGAGCTTCTTGAGCCTCTTGGAAAGTCTCAAGAGGGACCTTGAGCCGAGGGGTAGGAGTTACCGAACCTCATTAAATCACTGTTTGCTTTTTTCTTTCTTTCTCTTTCTTTTATGCTGTGATTGAATTTATTATATCTTTTCATTATAAATTTACTTGATTTAAATTATTAATTGAAGTGCACTTTTGAATATCGAATCATTTGGTATTGTATTGATAAAACTCCTCTATAGTCATTTACTGGTTAACAATTGGTATGAGAGCCTAATCGCGACCGGTTGTGCTTAAGAGCGATCGGTTCCGATGTGGCAATGCACTTATTTATTTATTTATTTTTCCCTAAATGAAGGATTTTATAAAAATATATAAACAATATAGTACATGGACAGGGGCGGAGCCAGGATTTGAAAGTATGGGGGGCTAAAGATAAATTTCAAGTAGAGAATTTATTGGAAAAAAAAAATATTCAAACAAAAAACGATCTGGATTAGAAACATACAAAGCTACTTTTTTCACTTAAAAATTGTGTTCAAAAGAGTAAAGTTTAAGTGTCTATATTACTTGATACCAAGTTGAGCTTTGCCATACAATTTGAGGAAGCTTTAATTGTTTATAAGTTTGAACATTCAAATTGTTCACACGGTTCTGCAGCTTGAGAAAAAGAGAGTTTAAGGTGACAATGTGTTTGCGTTTGCAACAATGTGTTTGGATTGGGCTGGGTGAATGTTTTATTATGAATTGAGCTAGGCTAAATGACTGATAGGAAAATGAAAATAGTACATGGGCTTAGTGGCTTAGTAGTACTAAATATTTTTTTTAATTGGACCTGGGCTATAGCCCAGGTTAGCCTATTCATGGCTCCGCCCCTGTAAATGGAGAATTAGTAAGGGCATACCCTTACTATACAAAATCAAAACCTATTAGAAAAACAGGCCAAGAAAACACAAAGCTAACAAAAGATTACAAAACATCTTGAAGAGTAACCCCCATGACATCAAGAACCTCCCAAATAATACACTTAGCTAATTCCAAAGGAGCTCTACATAGATCATTATGCATCCTTTCATTCCTTTCTTTCCAAATAAAATATAACACAGCTGTGAAAACAATACTGGCCAATTTGTTCTTCTTACCATTAAATCTCTGATTGAACATAGCAACCAAATCCTGCACTACATTCACCTTCTGTAGTTCACAACCAAAAATTCCGGAAATGCTATACCACATCTCCCAAGCATAATTACAGCTACAAAACAGGAGGTCCAATGTTTCAACATTATGGTAACACAGATAGCATCCAGAAACAAGCGAGAATACTTTATAATTCAGATAACAATGAGTGAGTATAGCTCTCTGTAGAACAAGCACATAGTGAGTAGGCCATCTCGGCCTACCTCCACTCCAACACAAACCTGCCCAATAAACACCTTGGCTTGGACTTCTACAGGCCTCCCAAGCTGCTTTAAAACTGAAAGGAGTCTTCCATCGCATCTGATCTTCTCCACCTAGAATTCTGTGATTATGAAACACCTAAATCAGATCTTGGTTGGTGTTAAATAACTGCTCATCATTCCATTGTCCATCAATAATCAGATCCTTCAGTAGAAGGTTTTTATTTCTACTAAGAAAACCCAAAATTCTATGATTAAAAAGCTCACCAAGACATTTACCATCACACCATGGATCGAAGAAAGCTTTTATGTTGTGTCTATTACCTATACTATATCTGCAATTAGCTTTTATGACATCTCTAACAGCAATAATACTTTTCCATATAGAAGAATCAGCATCCTTCTGTATAATATTCCAAAAAGATGCATTTTTCAGATACTTGTTCTTGAACCAAGCCACCCAAATTCTTTATTTAGACAGCAAGAAATCACATGCAATACTACACTTGGAAGCTTTATCAATGTCCACCAATCTTCTCAATCCCAAACCCCCTTCGTCCTTAGGAGCTGCTAGCTTATTCCATCTTAAACCATGCGTCTTCTTCTTATCTTCCACATGACCCAATATATAATTCCTCATTTTCTTCTTAATCAAATTAATAACCACAGAAGGAAGTGAGTACACAGAAGTTCAATACTGAACTAAAGGCAGGATGCAGGCTCTACACAATTCCACTCTACCAGCCATAGAAATGTAAAGACCATTCCATCTAGTGGTGAGAGTGATAACTTTATCAATCAGCTCAGCGCAATCTCTGCTACACAACATTTTATCATAAATAGGCACCCCAAGGTATGTAAAAGGAAATTTTCCAACTTTAAAACCAAGACTTATAATAATCACAGCCCTTCTTCTAATAGATTGAGTGAGAAATACCTCAAATTTCTCCTTACTAACAGCAAGCCTTGTAGTACTTTCAAACTGAATCAAAACTTTTTTCAAAGTTAACACAGTAGCCATATTTGCTCTTACCACCATCAGCAGGTCATTAGCAAAAAACTGATGTGTAATAGGTATACCAGCTTGTACTGCAGCTTTAGTTGGAACAATCTTACCGCATTGCACCTTAGCTGCAATCATACCTGAGAAGTATTCTATGACTAATGTAAATTTCAAGGGAGATAATGGACAGCCCTGCCTTCAACCTCTCTATGGTTGAAAAAACCCATAAGAAGAACCATTAACAATCACTGAAAACCAAACTGTGGAAATGCATCTGAAAATCCAATTAATCCATTTAGTTCCAAAGCCAAACAATTCCATAATTTTCAAAAGAAAAGACCACTGGACTGTGTTTTAAGCCTTCCTCAAATCAATCTTCCAAGCTAAAAGAGGTTTAGCATGTTTTGCACCAAAACCCTTCAACAACTCGAGCCATGATAATGTTATCTTGGATTCTTCTACCTTGAACAAAAGCAGTCTGCTCTTTACCAATAATCCTTACCAAAACCCCTGCCAATCTATTAGATAGAATCTTTGCAATAACCTTGTAAAATGTAGTGCATAAGGAAATAGGTCTATAATCTCAAACCTTTAATGCCACTTTTTTCTTTTGAATCAAAGTAATAAAGGTACTATAAATACCTCTCCCCATATCAGTGTGTTCAAAGAAAGAAAGAATGGCATCAGTAAATTGCTCACCCATAATAATCCAATATTTTAAAAAAATCTTGCAGTGAATCCATCTAGACCAGGAGCTCGATCAGGCCCCATTGAAAAAACAGTGCTCTTCACTTCCTCTCTGGAAATAGGAGCTTCTAAATTCCTAATTTCCTTAGTGTTCAAAGTAGTTCTGATAAATTTACCTTCAGGGCTGCATTGCATAGGCTAAGCATTTGCATAAGCAGACTTATAGTACTCCACAAATTTGTCTTTGATCCTTGTAGTGTCAAAAATCACCTCACCCTCATCATGTAAAACTATGATGTTATTGTTTAATCTGTGCTGTTTAATTTTCTGGAAGAAATACTTTGAACATCTATCTTGATCCTTTGTCCATCGAATTCTAGATTTCTGAGCTAATACCATAGTTTCATTGGATATAGTAGTCTCCAAATTCATCCTGTCTTCCTCCTCAAGCTTAATCAAATCTGCATTTAAAGGATCGGTATTTAGTGACTGTTGAGTCTCAGCAAGAGAATTCCTACACCCAATATCCTGTTCAAACACTGAACCAAATTTACCATTGTTCCACTACTTCACAGCTTGTTTCACTAGCTTTAACTTATATAAGAACTGCTTAATTGGATCACCATTAGTCCTCACCTTCCACACTTTAGTAATTAAATCTTTCACTGCAGGTTGATGATTCCACACAGATAGAAATCTAAAAGGCTTTGGACCATCTACAATCTTCAATGGACTTTTAACCCCTCAACCCCTAGTGATCAGATGTCAAAGGAGGAGTCAGTTCAATTTGAGAGTGAGGAAAAGCGTGCTCCCAATCCTCATTCTTCAAACCTCTGTCTAATCTAGCATAAATTATTCTAGTACTAAATTTTTTATTACACCATGTGTAAACCCCCTTAGTAACTGGAATATTAGATAAGCACAACTTGTCAATAGTATTGTTAAAATCTTGAAATACCTTAGTAGAGTGATGCTTGCCTCCTAATTTCTCATAATTAAGCCTGACAATGTTCCAATCCCCAAGTAAAATCCATGGACCATTAATGTACTGAGCACTATCCACAAGATCCTTCCACAAAAGAAGTCTTTCATTAGTTGTATTTTTTGCATATACAAATGTAGCAAAGAACTTAATAGAAGACCCTCTAATCTCCACCTGCAATAGAATCATCTGAGCTTTAACCGCAATAACATTAACAATCATCTTTACTGGATCCCAACCACGCTAGATACGGTCTCCTGAATCAGCTGAATAATTGTTAACCCAACTCCAATTCCTTCTGATAAGATCTACTACTTTCTGAAATTTGTCACCCTGAACTCTAGTTTCCACAAGTCCACACATTGCTAAAGAAGAACTACTCAACCAGGCCTTACCTTCTTTCTGCATAGCCTTTCTGTTGATTCCTCTTATATTCCATAAACCAATCATTAAACAATTGGTTTAGGTGGTGCAACCCCACCAACAACCATTCCTCTAGTGACTCTCACCACAGTTGGGTCAACCTCTACTTCCGTCTTCCTATTCTTCTTTTTCAATTTCTTACCTCCTCCAGGTGATACAGGATCCCCTTGAATAGAATCCCCTTCAATCACTTGATCAGCTTGAATTGATACAGAAACTAAAGGAACCCCTTCAATTTCATGATCTCCTTGAATACTTTCACATTCACCCTCTGGAGTCTTCTGAACTATCTCTTGTGAAACATCCACATTGATAACCTGATCTTTATTTCCCATTTGAACTAGGGATACAATATTCTCCTTAATAATTTGTCTCTCAGTATCAACATTGATTGACTCAATCACCATATTCTCTTCTCTTTCAACACTTTCCTCAAGCACTTGAAATACATTAGAAGTAATGATATTCTTTGGGTCTTTGGTTGTCCCACCTTTCCCTTCCCTTTGCTTTTTTCTGCACTGAAAATCCATCTAAATCATCTTTAGTATCATTTAGCACAATGGTAGATAAAGTCACCATATCCTTAACTTCAAGTGGTTTAGCCTTCACCACCCATTTTATCTTCAGTTTATCAGGTTTGATCTTGTTAATGGGGCACACAGCTGCATTATGATCCACTTTCTTAAAATGGTGCAAACTTGAGGTTTCCATTCATACTCCACCTGCACTTTGCAAGGTAATCCATGTAGTCTAGTACATATTGTTTCTGGAAAAACTCCATCAACCTCCATTTCAGCCAACACACGAACATATAAACCTTTGTCACGGCTTTGTATCACATCTTCCATATACATTGGTTGAGCAATATTAGATACAATCTTAGAAATCGAAGTCCCACTACGGCATGCACTGGCAAATCGCAAACTTTCATCCATATTGGAACCGTAGATAGTATATCTCTCTCCAGTTGAATACTCTTATGCCATTTCTTCACGATTATAGTACGCCCCTAGAAAGTATGAAATCTTGCTAGAACTTGTAACAAATCATCTTCAGATGGAAATCCAACTTGAAAAAACCCTTCCTTCATCGACACAACCACAGCATCCTTATGCCACCTCTTCTGAACATAGGCTTTAAAGTAAGGAAAATAGGGTTTTCTCCCTAGCACATAGCAAACCACTGAGTTTTCCCAATACTTCATCTCCTCCATAATATCTTCATCCTCAATTATCATAATATCTTTACCTCTACTTTCGCTATAATACTTCAATGGGATAAACCCCGTCGAGTTTGAAGCAACCAGTAGTGAACTCCATGAAGGACGGTTAAGAGAAGGTGCGATTGTAACGGGATGACCACCACCCGCCGGAGAGGAGGGTTACCCCTCCTCCATGATCACGTAAAAATCCAAAGAAACCCTAGGAAACCCTAATCGCCTCAGACAAAGAGAAAAAGGGTAAAACCATCGTTACCTTGGCAATGCACTTTTGAAACGTGAAACTTTTGAAAATTTCCCAAGTCCCTACCACCAAAACTCGCCAGTTATAAAAATAATGTGTCATCACCAATATACCTTCTCTAACATGATGTTTTCAACCGAATCAAATTTGAGCGCATATTGGTTGCAGTTGTTGTTCCGCTTCCAGCGTCAAGACACAAGATGGAATAAAAATTACAACTCGATTGGACACATTTGGACACCAAAATTTGTCAATTACAAATTAATATCTCACAAAATTATCCAAAAAAGTTGCGTATACCCCATCAGAATCATTTTCTTAAAAAGGAGTTTTTCAAAGAACTCAAAAGACAAAAAATTGTTTTTAGAGAAGTGTAAATGGTTGTTATATGAAGACAGCCTTTTCTTCAACAGAGGCTTCAAAAACCAGATTTTAGAAAAATGTTAAACAGACAATTTTTTGTGCAAACTGAACCAAACTGGCATAAGTATGTATCAGACAATTATACATTGATTTACTGGTTCTTAGGAGGGTTTTAGCATTAATAGATAACTAGAGGATGAGTAGGAAAATGTCCTGGTGATGCCTTAAAGAATAAAATTTACTACTGAAAGGAAGAAGGCACTCCTATTGCCCAATACAGAATTTACAAAAAGGAAAAAGACTTATATTCATTGCGTTAAATGTGTATATATCAATTGCTAGTCCTAATTAATTCAGGACTTGGAAATTAACTTTTGATTACATTAGGGAGTTAAGAGTCTTCAACTATGAAAAGCATATCATTATCTCTTATCACTTCAATTGAGTCAATTTCTGCCCCCCCTTCATCCAATACCAATATGGTTCTTGCATCAAATCCCAACTTTTCACCTGTCAGAAATAAAACAGTCAATGAAATTAACTCAAATTTGTATCCTTGAAACCACATACTCACTAAAAATAACTCACCCAAGTGATATAATGGCAAACAACTTCAGAAACCAACTCTAAAAATCAAGCATGATTTTGGCAATTCATAGACAGGACTTGACAAAATGTACCTGCAATGTTCTTGAGTTCCTCTAGTGAATTTGGCAGCCTAATGAGCCTCCCAGCTTGTGTGCAGCAAGTGTCTCTCCTGACCACGGGATGGCCTTTGTAAATACTGACTCTTGGATAACATAGCCCATTTGATCTTACCCAGTTGCAACACTCCTGCTCAACTTCATGCCTTCTAAGAAGCACTTCATCTGGTATCATATCTGGCACAATTATTCGATGTCCAACCTCTCTCTTTTGAAGCATTTCATTCAGATTCACTGTAGGGAAGTCTTTCTCATTTGCATTATTGACATCTGCACCATTCATGACTAGAATATTTATCATATCTTTGTAGTTTTCTACCATCGCGGTTTGGATAGCTGTTAATCCTTCTCGATTCTTTGAGTCCACGTACAGTCCTTGTTTCAAGAGTTCCTTCATCGCTGTGAGATCATTTCTCTTTGCGGCTGCACATAAAAGATCACCGGCAATATAGGGATCAGAGGTTGCAGCGTAGTGGTAGAGGATCCGAAATATGGAATGGTGCTTTGCTGCTATAGCATCCCATAATGCAGTGTTACCATCTATGTCTGCAATGCATATATAATGATAATTAGATGAGATCAAGAATAAAAAAATCCAACAAAATTTTGATGTTGTAAAAGAAATTAAGAGAACAATAATAGTGTTTTACCTTTCAAGTGTATGTTACATGCATGCTTGAGGAGTACCAATACACACTCTTCATGCCCTTTTGATGCTACTATATGCTGATGCAACACAAAAGGACCATATAAAAGAGTGACCACAAGAAGAAACAACAATAATAATGAGCATTTCAACTTTTAGATTTGATTAGGATTCAAATGCAGTAAATCGTATAGAGAAATGACTAAGTTAAGGATATTTTCATTATTCAATTTGTTAAAATTTAATTTTAAGAGGCTGATCAATTTGAAAATAGAAACATACCAATGGGGTCCTTCCTTTGGAGTCTCCAATGTCTGGATCCAAACCTGTCTTGAGAAGCTCGTCAAGAAAAGCCGCATTGCCTGTACTGGCAACGGTAAGCAGGTTCATAGACATGTTCAGATCACCATCTTCTCCCCCACTATCAAGCAATAAATCTCCAATACTTAGATCCTTGAGCTTCTTGTGATGCTGCAAAACAGAATTGATTAAAAATTACGATATTGAAATTCAAATTAAGTGCACCACATTTTTGAAATGTACTTTTTTCCATGGATATCATATCATTTGCCCTCTGTTAGTGGATAAAAATATGTGCACATATATGTTATTTCTCAATGAAAATTCATGATTTGTGCACAAGAACTCATGTTATGATACCATATTAACAATTGATAGAGGGGGTGTAATTAACCTAAGAATTTATATATATGTATAAAGAAAACTTGTTGAAGTGGGGTTTTTCTATGTAACATTTTTTTTTTCTTTTTTGAAGAGAGAAATTGAAGAAACATAGACTTGTCTTGAACTACCTAGCTACAAACCTGAAGGAAGTTTTTGAACATGGTTAAATTGTCTTCTTGTTTGGTCTGCATTGCTTCTATCAGAGCATTGGTTTTCAGCCTCAGAAGCTGCGAAAGTGTCTTGGTTCGATATGTGAAGCTTTGATGTCTGCAACAAAGTGCCCCAACTTCTCCAAACATGTCCCCAGAGTGTAAAGTCCCAACAACACGCTCTTTCTGATCAGTATCACAATCAATTATTTCTATTTCTCCTGATACAATGATATAAACATCTTCTGGGGCCTCATTTTGCATGATCACATCCTCCCTAGGTGGTATGTACTCGGCCTTGATATCTGCAACCTAATCAATTCCATTACATATTAAAAATAAAAAACTAAAAAAAAAATAGAAAGAGTTTCTAATGCATGTTACAACTAATTTATGTTTCAAATTTTGGTGCGGACTAAAAGGGATGCAATTTGCATACCAGAAGTAAGAGAATTTCCCTTGAGATACCCTTGAAAAGATACACATTTTCGACTGTTGGCAGAAACAAATGTTGACCGATGCTTTTGCATATTGTTTTTGGTAGCTGCTCAATAAGTTGTTGCTGGTTCAAGCTCTCAGCCTTAAATCTGAGGCACATGTAAGCCAATATCTGCTTTTTCAGCCTTGGAGGCAAGTGATTGCGACAAACAAAGTTTGATGCAGCTTCAATGCTATTTCTCTACAAAAATAAAATCCCACAATTCAATGACAATTATCACCATGTTAAATTAACATGTAGGAACATAGAATAAAAAATAAAACTTACGAATTCCATGGTACGACGTGTCCCTTCAACTACTAGATTTGTCATGTTACCAATTAAGTATGCAGTTAGGCCAAGGTTGAAGAGCATGTAGCAGATTATGAACATCATTTCCACTGAGTTGACAGCATGAAGGTCACCATAACCAACAGTGGTCATGGTGGTGACAGACCAGTATAATGCAGAAATATATCGAATCCCAAGGCCAGTTTCTCTGAAATTTGGATTTGAAGCCCCAATCCATGTCTTCCCTTCATTGGGGTATCGGTCTGCTAGCAAGTAGCACAGGCATGCAGCACAATGCACCAGAAATAATGTCACCTACACAGAGAGCAGTGATTATCAAATTTTGGTACTCATGTCCTTTATCCATATGCTTTATAGTTCCCTATAATCATATGGTTGTGTGAATTTATTGCAAGAAAAAAAAAAAAAAAAAAAAAAAAAAAAAAAAAAAAAAAAAAAAAATCTAAGAAGAAAAAGAATGGGGAAAAAAACAATTGACTTCAACTACCATTTATCCTAACCCAAAAAAAAAAAAGTTACTATTTTTTTGTTCTTTCTATTTCAGCCTTTTGGTCACATAGTGCACTCATGACATTTGTAGACTTTAAGTTTATCATAACATGAGGGGAGAGGGAAAAAAAAGAAAAAGAAAAAAGGCATTCTTTTATATTTGTGGGCCGTGATTGGGGGAAAATTCCCAACAATTGGTATTAGAGCCATAGAAGAGCACACAATTCTTGATCTAGAGTTTTTGTCATAACACTGGTGTTGTTTGTCTTGGGCACTTGTAACAAACATGGCTGGTAATATTGCCTCACAATTTAAGGTGGAGAGGTTTGATGGCTAGGGTAGCTTCACTCTTTGGCAAAGTAGAGTGAACGACATCCTAGTTCAACAAGGCTTACCTCGAGCTTTATAAAGAGAGGATGCCAGAGCATGAGTGGGAAGATATAGAGTTGCAATGTCTTGGCACTATTCAGCTCTGTATCATAGATATTATCATGAACAATGTTAAAGGAGAGAATTCTGCACCAAAATTGTGGGAGAAGCTTGAGAATCTGTATTTAGCGAAGTGTCCCACCACAAAACTCAATTTGAAGCTTGATCTGTATAAGCTGAAGGTTGAGCAAGGCATAAATATCTTGGAACACATGAATGTGTGCCATGGTATCATTGATCAACTAGCAAAAGTGGACATAAAAATTAAGCAAGAAGCTATTACTTCTTACCTCACTTCCAAATTCGTATGAGAACATTCTGACTACCATCTTATATGGAAAGGAAACATTGAAGATGGAGGATGGTGAGTCACTCTTTTGTCTAATGATAAGAGGAGGGACACTGGTGACACTGGTGATTGGAGCCACGACTCAGCCATGGTTGATCTTAGTCATAATAGGAGAAAGCAGTATACTCATGGATCTAACAATAGCTGGTCTAGATCAATGGGAGGAAAGGGAAAGCAGTATCATAGATGCCGTGAATGGGGCCACATAAAAAATGACTGTCCACTTGAAAAGGAAAAGGAAGATGGCGGCAAGAATGATGCATCTATCGCATGTGCTTTAGACGAAGATTTTGGAGATGCTTTTATAATTTCCGAAGGTAACACTCTTACTCGACATGACTGGATATTAGATTCGGGTTCTACAAACCATACTTACTTCGTGAAATAATATTTTGATTCATTTTAAAGACTTGAGAATAGAGATGGAGGTGACGTAAATGATGATGAGTTTGAAAATCCGATCTCATCAATGTCCCCTTTCAAAGTCACTTGGTCGTGCTAACTTGGTTTAGCTACACGTATGCATTGGCTATGGAATCAAGGTGGAGTTTGTATTAGAACTTGGTTCAGGCTATGTGTAACTGGTATATGGAAGACCAATGGACTGCTTGTGAATTTGAAAGTAGAAGTCCCGTGCATTGAGACTTGTGAATTCTAGCCATGGGGAGCTAAGGACTTAGAAGAAGCTTGGTCTTTACGGGTATGTTACGTGACTTCTCTTCCTCGTGGGTGGAGGGGGAGATTATTGGGGTTCATACACATTATAATAGACGTCAAAGCGGTGAAGACTCTAAAGACGTTAGAGAGACCTATAAATATAGGCATCAGGAGTAGAAGGAAAATATAGTGGGGCAATAACAATCTTGTTTGAGAGGATTACTTTCATTGTATTTTTAAATAGCTTTAACTCTTGTTTGAGATGATTAGTTTCATTGTCTTGGAAATGATACTTTGTCTGAGATAGTTCTAGTTTAGAACTTTGTATTTCCTTATGAGTGATTGGGTATAAAAGGGTTAAGGGTATAGATCAAGGAAAATTTCTATGCAATCCTTTAACTTGTATTTACAACCTCTAGTAGAAATCTTACTCTTTGTGGACATAGGTGTGTATTGCCGAACCGCGTAAACTTGGTGTGTTATCTCATTGCTTGTATCTTGGTTAACATGCTTGTTTTTCTTATTATCATTCTTTTATATTTGCAGGTCATGATTGGGGGAAAATTCCCAACACCCTTCCTCTCCCTCCAGCTTTGCGGTCTCTTTCTTTGCTTCACTGTCTTAAAAAGCTTCGTTTAGTAAGGAAGAAAAAAAATGGATGGAGGGGAGGGGAGAAAGGATGGATGAGATTGTGTCATTCTCTTTATTTGCTCGGTTGGATGAAAGAGAAGTGGATAAGCTCACAATTTACAATGTTCGTTATGAGAAAAGGGAAAGCAGATTTTTAATTTAGGATAGTAAAAAAATACTCCGTTTGTATAATATAGGTTAGTAGTAATTTAAAAACTTTTATTATAACCTCACTTGTTTTTTCCTCATTTTTGGCCCATATTTAGAGGTATGAAAATTTGTAAAGGAAGAATTATAACTCATCCTCTTATTATCCTTTCTCTTCTTATCTCCTCTCTACCGAACGAGAAAGTTTGTTCCTTTTTTCTTATTTTTCCTCCACATCTCTTCCTTTCTTCCTACCGTACAAAGCATTCTTGTCATTGCGGTCCAACCCGTTATCTCTCTCTTTGCTTCATTGCGGGCCAGCGTTCCAATCTCTCCCTCCTCACTTCATCGCGGCCCAGTTCCACGGCCTCTCCCTCCTCACTTCACCACAGGCCAACGCCACGTCTCTCTTTGCTTCATCTTGACACCCCTCACTCTCTTCACGCAATCTCTCCCTCTTCACAAAAATGAAAGATTTCACTTATGATACAGTGGCCGAGTTAGAGGAAGTCATTGATTTTGTTACGAAGTTGCTAATGGACAAAATTCAGTTCTAAAATAAATATCGATAGATTAATTCAAGAAGAAACAATATTTTAAAAAGAAACTTGAATTGTAATTAGTTTCAAGTGTCACTTACAGATAAGAGTCTAGCACATCTAACCCAGAAATAGTTAAATCTGATGTCCTTTTCAAGCCTACAAAATAGGAGAAACTGTGTGTCAATTTTTTTGGAAAATTAAAAGAGTGCACAAGTGTAGTGTCAAGTTCTGTGACCAAAATATAAAATGGGGCAAAACCAACCTGGTGAAGAATTGATTCATTCTTCGAATACGCCAAAATCTGAGTAAACCCAAGAGTGAGTAAGAGGTACCCACTTGGTATTTGCCCGTGAACAAGAAAACTACTGCCTCGAATGGAATTGTTGATGCCACATCCATCAAAAACCATGTGGACGAGTACCTGTCATATATCACATGCCCCATTCATTGGTTTATGGTACATCATAATCATTTCCACCTAAAGCCCACTGCATACCCCTCTCTCTCTCTCTCTCTCTCTCTCTCACACACACACACACACAAAGCACACTGCATCTCTCTCTCTCTCTCTCTCTCTCTCACACACACACACAATATGATAGCACTACCTAATTAGTTTGGTGTAAGGTTTAAATTTTGTTGTACTCTTTATTATCTACTCCTATATATAATAAACAGGGCTTGAAATGTGTGGTGGTTTTTCCCCTATATGTGTGGTGGTTTATCTATGTCAATATAATGTTTCTCAATCCATGGATGACAAACTAATTATACATGTACAGACTATTCAAATTTTATCACTTAACCTTTCTTAACCCATTATTCGGTGGCTGAAAAAGTGACTTTGAATGTAAAAAAATTAGAAATATTCTTATATTATTTATGTAATGATATTAAAGAGAAGAGTCTTCAACTCTTCACATTTAACTATTAAATTAAAAAATATATTAAATAATTCATTTAAAGTTTCGCATTTCAAAATATATATGTACATCAATCTAATAATAAAATATCTTGTTACGAGGAATCCCAAATAGCTTTACTCAAATTATTTACATTCTCATATTATTGGTTCAAAGTTAAACATCACTAAAGGTAAATATCAAAAATTTACCCACTACTACCAAATAATTTTTAAAAGGCACACACTTGTACCAGGTTTAGTACATTTATGTACCACTCCTAGTGCATGAGTAATTCTCCCTTTTTATTAACAAAATGTTACACTATATTATCTTGATCTAATGACTTCAGTTAAATGGAGGCATTTTGGTAATTTCGGTTCGAAATCCAAATTATAAGAGAATATATAAACTGTGCTTTCCACTGTAAAAACCTTTTCTAACATTATATTTTAATAAAGTACTTTTTAACTTTTATGTTAGTGTTGTTAGGTTTCATGAGCAGTTTATGAAAAAGAGAAAAAGTTGTATGTTGATATATGAGTAGAATTTTGACAAGAGGTCAGATTGGTGATAATATTCATGTCGATAGGGAACGCAAAATAAAAAAAATAAAAAAGTGCTATTTTTAAATATAAAACAATCAAGACTCATCATTGACTTGAAAAATTATTAAAATTTTATTTATTAATACAAAATGATGACTAGGACTTCTTTGTAATATTTCCTATTGAAAATTCCAAAAGCGATTCATGAGTGAGAATCGTTCACACATTCATGAAAAAAGACAACCACTAATTATCCTTCCATCAGTATTAAAAGGAACCGTACCCACTATCTATTCTTGTTGTGATAAAGACACTGACTAAGAAATTCCAACGTATTAATTTGTCATTTGACATAAAAAGATTAATTCGGAGGAGTTTCAAAATATATATGAAAAAAAGAAGAAAAAAAAAAAAGAAAAAGAAAAAAAGAGAATCGTTCACGCATTCGTGATAAAAGACAACCACTAATTATCCTTCCATCATTATTCAAATGAAATGTCCCGTCTAACTATTCTTGTTGTGATAAAGACACTGACTAAGAAATTCCAACATATTAATTTTGCATTTGACATAAAAAGATTAATTCGGAGGAGTTTCAAAATATATATGAAAAAAAGAAGATTAAAAATTCTGTCTAGGGTTTTGAAAATACTTTATCATTAAAAGATTAAAAATTATTAAAATTTTGGTTTTTTTTTATTTATTTATCAAATTAATGTTATGGAAAACTCTTTCATAGATCCTAATTCCAACTCACCTATATATATGTACAAATAACAAAAGTTGCTTAATTGTCCCATATCTTATCCTCTTTTTTGTACCAATATACATGTAAAAACACTTTCACACATTAATTGGTTGCATATCTTATTCTCTCTCTTGTTTTGTCCATGTAAAAACACAAACTGTAGAAATAATTTTTGTTTGCAAAACCAGTTCCATCAAATTAAAACTGTAAAAATAAACTAACCTCTTAGCAATTTTGCTGGATTCACGAACTAAAAGCTGAGTTGTGTGATCGATGTAAGCAACAAAAAATGTTAAGACAATATCAACTGCGAAAAATAGATCAATGACATTGTCTGCGATGTATAGTGCCCTTTTTGGAGATGAACTTAGAAACGCCACCTCAAAAGGGTATACCCATGCAGAGTAAGCTACCAAAAGCACCATTAATGTCTCCCAACACCTGCATATATTGATTATAATCCCATTAATTAATTAAAACCATTATAATCCCAAACAATAGTCAGTAAAAATAAAGCAATATATATAAGTTCTATTAATTACTATATATATATATATATATATAGTAAGGCTATTGCAATTATGTAACTACAAAAACTTCTATACATAAGTTCTCCCACTCAACATAATCATATTTTTATCAAGATTTATTATTACCAAAACCGTAATCTCTGGTATATCCTCTACCTCCGAAAGTAGAAGGTAAAGGCTCCAATTTCCGTAGAAATCTCAATCTATGATATACTCTCTACCTGATAAAGTAGAAGGTAAAGGCTTCGATCGACTTCCGTAAAAACAAGCGGGTGCATGAATTTTCGTATAAGTTTAAAAGTAGAACACTTTTTCTTTTCTTTTTTTCATGCAGACACAGATATGCAAACATGAATGGATATAAACAAGTGCTATATATATTGACACATATATGGGATTTTCTTCTTTAATTTACCTGTCGAGCATATCCTACCTGTATCTTGAATCTACTGGAGAGATGACCCTCCCTTTGGATTCATTCTGATTCTGGTTATAACTTGAAACACCCAATGGAGGCAGAATCAGCTTTGACAGGTTGCGTAAATTGAGATCCGACATGCCGTCTTCGTCGTCATCGTCGTGTGGCTTCTCCGACCGGCCATGCTGGCTTTTCTGGCCAACCCTGTTCATGTTAGAGCCTGAGTTTAGACCATTTGGTGTGAAGTTCATCTCCAATATTTGTAAAAACAAATCTTAGTATGTTTTTCAGGTCATGTAAAAGATAGAGTGAGAGAGAGAGGTTGTTGGAAGGACATTTAATTTAGAGGAATGGAATGGTTCTAAGTAGCAGCTAGAGAGATCTCTGTGATGATATAATTGTGGTGAGAGAGAGAGAGAGTGGGTTGTGGTCCTCTCAAGTAGAAGTGACCATGAAATGAGGCGTGTGTATGTGTGTGTGTGTGGGGGAATGGCTTAATGGGAACACCTGCATTGATTGATGTTTGTGATAAGGGTCTCCTAAATATGCAATGGTGGGGGGTCCAATATTTTGGATTTGTGTGTAAATTATTGTCACAAAGGTCATTTCCATATAAAAAATTTAGCATTATATATACTGGAGGTACAAGTGAAAACGTTCATCGTATATGGTGAACATAAAAGTGAATTGAAAGATTTACCTTATCAGAACAAGCTTTGTTTGTATATGCCTTGGCTAAATTTGATGTCATAATTTTAATAAAAATCTTAATGTATGGTGTTTAAGGCCTAATTCTTAATTTAATACTTAATAATTTAAAAAGACTGTGGGTGATGAGTTAAAGGAATAAGTTGGAGGGATGTCACATCATTGCAATGGTGGTTTTTGTTTTAATCTCTTTGTATTTAAAATTATAGGTTTGTGTGGATAGAAAACTTCCTTCTTGTATCAACAGTCACCTATTAACACAATACTAGGATTACCACCCTTTTAGGATTACCACCCTTCATGAGTATTTATATACCTTATTCTCGTCTAGTTGGGTCCTATTTGAGATCTTCGTATCTAAGCTTATTTTTAACTATCTTGAAGTATAATATTCTTTTCCAACCTAAATTTTATTCACATCTCCATTGAATTCAAGGACATCTTTGAAAAAATTCTCAACACGAAGTGCAATGGTTTGTGAGAAAGGATTCCGTTGTGTGAGTTGCGGAATAGTTGTGAAAGTTAAATTTTAAAACAATAATTTAGAGTGGGTGAATAGGTTGGACTCACACTTTTATTTGATTTTTAATTATTTATTTTAATCTTATTAGAATAAAACTAAAATTAAGTCCACAAAATAATAAAGTAAAGTGTGATAAAGTAAATAAAGTAGAGATGGCACCAATATTTTAGTGTGGAAACCCTTACGGGAGAAAGATCACTGAGACTATCGTTTCAAGCGAAACTGTTGAATATAAGAGAGAGAGATAGACAGAGATATACAATATATGTTCTGTATATTGAAGTGTGAATAAATCATATACAAATAGAGACATATATAGGCTAATGATCAACAACGGTTATACAATAATCACGACTATACTACGATAGTAATTACGGCAACAATCGCTATGTAATGGATATAATAAAATCTAACATTATTATGATAACATCCCCCTTCAAACTCAAGGTGGTAGAGTAGATACCAACTTGAGTTTGAAAACTAATTTCTGAAATCTACCTAGCGGATGTGCTTCGGTAAAGATGTCAACGGTCTGATCAGCGGAAGTTACAGAATGAAGATGTACAGTGCCCCGAGTAACATGGTGACACACAATATGACAATCAATTTCAATATGTTTGGTGTGTTCATGGAAGACATCATTCTGAGCAATGTAGATAGCACTCTGGTTATCACAACAGAGAATAGTGCCAGTGGAATGAGAAACACCCATATCTGTTAAGAGCCATCGAAGCCAGATAAGTTCTTGTATGGAATCAACAAGGGCAAGATATTCGGCCTCTATACTAGACTTGGAGATAATGGATTGCTTTTTGTTATGCCAAGAAATGAGAGAGTTCCCAAGAAAGAAGCAGTAGCCAATAGGAGAACATCGGTCAGTCGGATCACCTGTCCAATCAACATCAGAATAGGCACGTAATTCAAGTGAAGAATGAGAAGAAAGGTGAAAGCCATGAAATATAGCCCCTTTAATGTATCGAATGATGCGTAATACAACAACATGATGAGTAGATCGTGGTGCAGATAAGAACTGGCTGATAAGATACATAACATAGGCGATATCAGGTCGAGTGACAGTAAGGTATACCAAACTGCCAACCAACTGTCTATACAATGTAGCATCGCTGAGGAGTGTACCATCTAGAGGACTGAGCTTGACATTGGTCACAAGTGGAGTGGGAGCTGTTTTGCAATCCTTGAGTCTAGCACGAGCAAGAATGTCAGAGGAATGCTTGGCTTGGGAGAGATAATAGCCATCTGAATCAGAGAGAATCTCTAAGCATAGGAAATAATTGAGGCGCCCAAGATCCTTCATAACAAAGTGATGACTAAGAAAAATTTTGAGTGCAGAGATACCTGCAAGATTATTTTCAGTGATTATCATGTCATCAATATAAAGTAAAAGAAGAGTAATACCAGAGTCAGTCTTACGGATGAAAAGACTGGAATTATATAAGCTTGAAATAAATCCAAAATCTCTAATTATAGTACTGAATTTTGCAAACCACGCCCTTGGAGCTTGTTTAAGACCATCGAAGGAATTTACAAACTTGGTGTGGCGAATGGTCATATCCTGGAGGGGGTTTCATATATACTTCTTCAGTGAGATCGCCATTGAGAAAGGCATTTTTCACATCCATTTGAAACAATGTCCATATGTGGGCTACTGCAACAACCAGTAGGCTACGGACAAAAGTAAGTCGAGTAACAAGGGCAAATGTTTCCTCATATTCAATGCCATATTCTTAGGTGAAGCCCTTTGCAACAAGACGAGCTTTGTATCGTTCCACAGAACCATCAGAACTAGTTTTGATTTTGTAAACCCATTTACAACCAACAACAGTTTTGTCGGAAGGAAGAGCAACCATGTCCCAAGTATGAGCTTGTGTGAGAGGTTGTAATTCTTCTGCCAAAGCTTGCTGCCAAAAGGGGTTAGAACTAGCCTCACGGTAGGATTTAGGCTCATGATGAGACATAATAGTAGAGAAACACTGAAAATCACGTAAATGACTAGGAGGTTTTCTTACTCGATTAGATTGGCGAGGAGGTTTAACAATAGTGATGATATCTGATGAAGAAGATCCAGTAGCAGGACCATCAGATGAAACAGATTTGTCAGGTAAGGCCATTTATGGGAGCTCGGATGGAGACGTTGTTTCTGGAGTAGATGCGATAGTGTTTGGAAGCTCAAATGAGGATATTGTATCTATGTCATCTAGGAAGAGTTCAACTAAAGAATCAGTAAAGGATAAAGGAGTAGAAGATGGAGATAGATGGAATTTGGATAGAGAAAGAACATTTTATGTTCCCAAAAGATGAAATGACGAAAGACATGAACACGTCTGGAAATAGGATCCCAACATTTGTATCCTTTGTGTTCAATTCCATAACCTAGAAAACAACATAGACGAGCATGAGGTTTTAATTTGGTACGTTCATGAGGCTGAAGTAAGACAAAACAAGCACATCTAAAAACTTTGAGAAGATTATAAGTAGGAAAGATCCTATATAAGTGTTCATAGGGAGATTGATAGCCAATAATAAGCATTGGAACACGGTTAATGGTGTATACAACAGTGAGAGCTTCTTTCCCCCAAAAACGCTCAAGACAAGAACTGGATATGAGAAGAGAACGAACAGTGTCTAAGATATGCCTATGTTTACGTTTAGCCCGCCTATTTTAATGGGATGTGCCAGGACAAGAAGAGTGAGAGATCGTGCCACGTTGGCGAAGAAATTTTAGAAAATTTGTTTCATTTTACTCCATAGCATTATCAGCGCGGAAGATCTTGATGGATCGGGAAAATTGGGTTTTGACCATGTTTGTAAAATTATAATAAAGTTAGGTAGTTCAGAGCGATTTTTCATAGATATAGCCAGGAAAATCATGAGTAATCATCAATGAAAATAACAAAGTATTTGAGTCCTCCCATTGTAGTATGAGGAGAAGGTCCCCATACATCAAAGTGAACTAGGTCAAAAGGAGAAGAAGTAATAGATGTGCTTTTATTGAAAGGTAAAGTAGGTTATTTTACAAGTTGACAAGGTAAACAAATTACATCATCATTTAACTGAACCTAATTGACCAGTTGACATTATGAAGCGTAAACGCCCAACAGAAAAATGACCTAATCGGGAATGCCAAAGGCTAAGTAAGGGAGTAGAGATTGCTGAAGCAACAGTGGAAACTATAGAAAGCCGATGAGAAGGAATGTAAAGATAGATTAGCTCAAAGAGACGTCCCACTTTACAGCTATCCCAAAGGTTTGCTCGTCTGTGGATCCTATACATGACAACCGGAAGAAGAAAAAGTGACATTAAGTCCAAGTTTACATATCTGACCAACATAGATAAGATTGATTGTAAGTTTTGTATATGAAAGGTATTTGAGAGTGAGACATTGGGGGTGGAAATTTGACCAATGTGATTGACATGTAAGTGAGATCCATTAGCTATATGAATTATAGGTGTATTGATGGCAGGATGATGTTTAAAAAACCTTGTAGAATCAGAGGTTATGTGATTATAGCAACTAGAATAAAAAAATAAAAATAAAAAAACCACGAATTACCTAAGGTAACTGACATATCAGTGGAAGGTGGAGTACCATTATTAAAGAAAATCTGCTTAAAAAGAGCCTCAATATCATTGGTAGACATCGTTGTGACTGTAAGAGCTGGAGGACAGCACCACTCAATGGTGACAGCAGTGATGGACGAAGTTGGATGACTGTGGTTGGATGAAAAACCTCTAGAAGAATTGGTGAGAGATTGCCAGTTCTTGGGACAATCACTCTGGTAGTGACCTGGGCCTTTCTTGTGACAAAACTTGCAGATTCTGGTGGGACAAGTTAATAAAGCATGATTTATTTTGTGATAGTAGGTACACTATTTTAAAGAGGAGAAAAATGAAGTCAGTTTCTTTCTAGGGTAATGAGTAGCAAGAACTGTGTCTGTAACCTGAGGTTGAGATGTATTTAGACGAGTTTCTTTTGAAAGAAGATCGGTTATAGCATCTTCTAAGGTAAGCAAAGGATGCTGGTGAAGGAGAGAGGCTCGAACAGGTTCAAATGAGGGTTGAAGAGCTATAAAAAACATGATGACACGTTATCGATCTCGATAGGTAGTAAACTTTGTAGCATCAGAAGCACACAACCAAGTAGGTTTAGAAAGAAATAGTTGATCCCAAATAGCATGCATTTAAGAAACACAGGTACTGATAGATTGACCAGGCTGTTGAGTTTTGCTATGAAGATTGGTCAGAAGTT